TCTCTGAATAAACATATATTTTTTTGTACATATTTGGAATTCAGACACTCTAATTGGGGGGGGGGGAGACAAAATTTAAAAAAAAATTGGGTCGTATATTGGGTCGCAATAAAGGTTTATATATTTGGCGATAGTCCAGAAAACCGCCAAAGAAAGTCACCAGCGCAAATGAATATTCTAAGATAACCCACTAACTAATTCAAAAAAAGAATGCTTAATTCTACTAGGCTGCTAAGCAACCAAGCTCTGGCTTTAAAAAAGATTGAAATAATGTTCTGTGATTACTCGGAGAGGTTTAATTAATAGTTAATAGAAAATATCTCCAAGTTTCTAGCAATAGACAATTTTTAAGCTGATTTCTGTCCAAAAAGCAAAAAAAAAAAATTTTTTTTAATCTCCTTTGAAAAGAAAATTTGAATCGATTTTTAAATTATGTTTGATTTTCTAAGTTCGTAGAATTTGAATACATGAACCTTTTATCTGATATTATTTAGATTATGTTGTTTTTGCTACATTTATTCGAGGACTTCATAATAAAATAAAATCAACATAACTTATTATGACTGTACGCAAAATTTTAGTGATAATCATTTTTACAGCTTTAATCGAGTCTTCTAGGCAAGAGAGTTTGAAGGAAAATAAAGTACTTGAAAAATAAAATGTATATTGTAAAGTAATACTAACGCACATTCACAATGTTTTCTATAATTTACGATATTTCTTTTTTCTATAACTCAAGGAATTGCTCTAGGTTTAGTGGCATTTTAAAAACATTGAAACATGTTATGTTTAAAAATTAGATATTGAAATAATATGTTGTATATTGTATGATTCAATGTTTAAAAAATCGCTTTATTCAGCTAGATATTTAGGTTACAAGGTTTTCTTTGAATAAAGATGATTAGCAAATAGTTTCGCTACATTCTGAAACTTACGCTCGGAAATTCACCATAAAATGTCGCACAGCATATTCTTCAATTACGATAAGCTACATTTACCACCAAATACTGCTACTATGATTATTTTTGTTTTCTTATATATATCTGATACGATACTCTCTTTTTAAACAGAGCTCGTAAGGTCCTTACGAAACTGAAATGGAGGCACGAAAACTCAAATAATAAAATATTTAATTTCATTAACTCAAAATATCTGGTCTCGAAATTTTAATTTTAAAGTTAAATATAACTTTTATAATATTGATGCTCTTACATTTTTAAAGACCACATAAATCCTACTAAAATATAGAAATGCATATGTTTACTTTAACGAGTGTAAAATCCGTATCAAAATAATGATCAAGACCCAAATGTAAAACAGTATAATTGATGATAAAAACTCAACTGGCTTCAAAAAATATGAAGAGGAAAGTAAAAGTTGACATGTTTCGAGCGTTCAAATATAATCGCCCATTCTCAAGACTTGTCAGGCTTGAATAACTGGTGACTTTTATTATTGGACCCTCAAAACATGTCTACTTTTATTATCATCTATTATTTTTTAAATCAATGAAGTTTTTATATTTTCGATTCAGTTTCTTGGGATTATCTATTTAGTTACACAACATATTAAATTATTTCACTCGATATTAAAATAAGTTTTACATAAGTTATAGGCGCAGGATCTTACATTGAAAAAATAATAATTCACTACTTTGTAAAAAAAATCAATGCAGTACATTTTTGTTTTTGCTGCAACCCTTAACATTTTAATTTAAGGACATAAAAAAATTCCTTTTACAATTGAAATTTCAAAAGTCGAATGTGAGATGGAATGTCCCTTAGCACCAGGAATCGAACTTAAATAGTTACAAGGACAACTATTTTAAACACGTTAGCGTTTCCGAGCTACTCGAAGTTGTTTGAAGAGGTATTTTTTATATATATATTCCAAAGTTTATTCTACATATATTTCAGGATATTATTGAGGAGTATTTTGATCGAGTTTATTTGTAAACACTTCTTTCCTTAAATTAATTAAATAATTTGCTTAAAATAAATTATTTAAGCTACATGATTTAATGCATTTATAGTATAATAGTAATTGGAGCTTCCATTGCATATCCTTAACCATGATACCGCTATCATTAAATAAAGGGAATAAGCTTATATAAATAATAAAAGATAAATTTTTCTTCGTTTTAATTTTCAAGGAAATATGCTTCGTTCAAACAGATTTCATTCTGGAAATAGCGAAATTATTGAGTAGGTCTCTTGGAGCAAAATCATTCTTATCCTATTTTGACGAAATATAGGAAAAATTGGTTTTCACAATTTCTGAAAAAAGTATGTTAGCCTTCTTGCCACGTTTTTTTTTTTTTNTATCCTCTTTTGACGAAATATAGGAAAAAATAGTCTTTCTCAGTTTCTGTAAAAAGTGTGTTAGCCTTCTTGCCACGTTTTTTTTAATTTTTATTTTTATTTTTAATCAAAATAAATTCGGAAATTGCGTATTTCTTATTGCATTTTTTTAAAATCAGATGATTCTAAAATTGGCACGGCGCCGGAATGTTCTTACAAATTTCAATTTTTAGTATTTTCTGCTTAGCAAAATAAGGCATTTTTCCTGATAACAAATTATACTACAATAATATCTTGGGAATCACGCGCTAAAGTAAAAAATTAATCAAAATAGTTTAGCATATTATCCGGAAAAAAATCTGCATGAAATCATAAAAAAAGAATAAAAGATATAATGAAATAATTAGTGAATCACACGTGGTCAGATAATTAAAAATTTAATTTCACAACTAAGATGCTAGGACGACATTTAGGATACTGAGATATTTTAAGACGCTTAAAAAGTTTGGCTACGTATTTGACAGCTTTTTATGTTCGGTATCTTTATACTCTTTGTAGTGACTTATAAAACAACAACACTATTTTAGATAATCTATGTTTAAGTCACAAGAAACAAAAAAAGACAATGATTTATATTCTTTTTTCGAAAAAAACAGAATGCTTACTAAATAATCAGCTGTTTTGCATTAAATAGTTTTAAACAGCGGAATGTTTTTAATTTCTTAACAAGGCTTTATTCTAAGGTAGCAGACAATAATTCTTTTAAAAAAACTTGACTGTAATTTAAAAAGGAACTTTACTTGAAAGAAAACCTAAATTTAAGTATTAAAAAAACTTGATTGGTATATTGATGAGGAAATAATAAACGTAGTAGGATAAAGAATAAGATTTTTAAAAATTTTAAAATTTAGTTAAATAGCTGGTAAAATAGTTCCGCGAAACATTTCCGGACAGGTCATTAAAAAATTACTTTTAAGACGAAATATAATATGTTGAGAAATTTGCAATGATATGAGATATGCTTAAATATGTCTACTACGTATTTTTATTAATGTTTATAAAAAATATATTCAAGAAATTGATAATTATTTTAGTCCAAATCTATTCATACTTATGTATGTTATTGAAATTGTATCAGTTATTGAGGGAAAAAAGCTAAAATTTAAAAAATAATCACATTAAATAAGCACAATCTGGTGTATAATCATATTCTATCAGAGGAATGCTTTTATAAAACTCGACATTCGTTGAATAAAATGTTTTTTATTCAATAAAATATTTTATTCAAATTTCTTTACTAAACTGCGAATAAATTTTCAAACGACTAAAAAATAAACATCGTATTTTATACATCGTTTGTAAAGAAATAAAATTAAAAAGATTAGCAAACGATTACTAGCGAAAAAAATATGAATGAAATTTTACGTTACGCGCTCTAAGTCAAGTTCCTCATAAGTTTATCACGTTTTAATATTAATCGCTCCATTTAATTATTTCTTCATTGTCGCCAAATTATTTTTTCTTAATAATTATTTTTAATTTTTCGCATCTTCTAATAAATAAAAAAAGTTGAAACTTTAGATTTTTCAATTTAAAAATATGTAGATTAATATGGCGTAGAAAAATCCATACCTTGCAATTCAACTTTTTTTCATCCTTTCTTTAATTAAATAATTATTAAAAATTATTTTTTTCAAGAAATTATCTTTGGGGACGTGAGTTTTCTGAGTGGGTGCAATTTTGTTTTTCAATTGCTTCATTAGTTTTTAAAATATGACTGAAAACGTAAAAAGCGAAATTAACATTAAGGGGTCCAAACTTTGAATCTCCCTCGTGACCAAAGTATGGGGACCACATTTCCCAGATTGCGACAATCCCCTATATTTTGACTGAAAACGTAAAAATCGAAATTAACATTAAGGGGTCCAAACTTTGAATCCCCCTCGTGACCAAAGTATGGGGACCACATTTCCCAGATTGCGACAATCCCCTATATTTTGAATATAAGGAATCCAAATATGTAAAAAAAAATGTATGTTTATTCAGAGAAAGTACGTTTTTGTGTCTGATTTCGTAACTTAATTAATAGTTAGCACTAATTAATTAGGTCACCCCCAGGAACCATTAAGAATGTGATGAGATCCATTCGTGAAAATCCGATCAATTTAAGGGGATATCTTTTTTTGCGGACTGTACATTGGAAATAAATAAAATTATAAAAAAATTATTTTAGGTTTTTCTTTATCTAATAACATAAAGCAACCGAAAAGGGCAAATAATAATAATAAATAAATAAATAAAAATGAAATTATTCTAGCTGTATTAATTGTGTTTACATATGTCTTTCAGTTTTGTACATGATTTTGTAATGTTGTTCTGTATTAAATTAATGATTATTTACTTTTTTTTCAACCCGTACTTAGAACGGGCATCCAGCTAGTAATGTAATAAGATCAACTTTTTTTCATCGGCAATAATATTTCAAACTCATTATTTAGATAGCAAATATTATTATATTACTCTTTCAAACTCATGCGAAATATAATCAGGAGAAAACCTGATCAATAACTTCTAAATTTCTGACATAATATAAGAATTGAACCTATGAGGAAGTCGCAAGTAAAAAGTTTTTATCTGTCACTTCAGCACGTGTATCCAACTGTTATCTTTAAATTTGCTTATACTCTTAATCGTACTGCTTCCTCTTACATAAAAGAAGAAGAAAATTCTCGACAGCGCGTGTCTAGAATGTTACTGATAACGGGTTGTTTCGACAGCGCGTGTTGTTAATAATTCATAGATGAATCAGATACGTTGCAGGAAGTATACACACGGCATCGAACTATTGCTACGAAAAGCATACTTTTCCATGTTTCCTTCTGTCTCGACATGAAGTGTTTCATATTTACCGTTTTATTGATCACAGTGGTCCTCCTTGTAACAGTACAAGGTCAAGGTGGTAGTCCTGGTTCTCCTGGGGCACCAGGTACACCAGGTTGCCCTGGTGGTCCAGGAGGCGACGGTAGTCCAGGAGGCGCTGCTGGTCCAGGAGGCACTGGTGGTTCTGGAGGCACTGGTGGCCAGGGAGGCACAGGTTCTCGTTGCGGTAGTTCAGATTGCCCTGGTGGTCCAGGAGGGGCTGGTGGTCCAGGGGGCCCTGGTGGTCGAGGAGGCACTGGTGGTCCAGGAGGCCGTGGTGGCCAGGGAGGCTATGGTAATCCTAATGGTTCTCCTGGTTCTCCTGGACCACAAGGTAGTCCAGGTAGCCCTGTTGGTCCAGGAGGCGCCGAAGTTCCAGTGAGAGCTGTTGCTCCAGGAAGCGCTGGTGGATTGATCATGCTACCCTTGTATCCAGAGTGTGCCACTTATGGTAAATTAATGCACGATATGTTTGAAGGTAAGGTACTTTAAATGTGTGTTAAAATGATTTTTATACTGTTTAAGATTGGAACACTTTTAAAGTTTCAGTAAATGAAATAAGAAATAGCTTATTACGTAGCAGCAACTGTTTTTTTATGTAATTTGATTGGTAGAATACAAAATATAGATATCATCATTGTGTAGAAGCCACTCTTAATCATGTAATGTGAAACTGGTTAAGTGTTTTTAGAATGTAAAATATAGAATTATAATTATGTAACGGTTGCATTTAATGTAAGGGTTTATGTAATGTAAAATTAGTTAATTGTTGGCGGAAAACAAAACGTAAAATACATCACAATGCAAAATGGTTTATTTGTTTGATTTATCTTAATTTCTATTTTAGCTATTTGGTTTTGACTCATTCAAGTTTAATGTTATGCACAATGCGCAAAATAAAAACTGGACCACCCTGAATAGCTTTGATCTTATGAAAGTATTTTCACGTTCTGGGACTCAATGGTTAGAGGGGTGACGTAATTAGTGCATTTGAGTTATGAAATCAGGCGCAAAGCCGCACTTTCTCTAAATAAACATAGTTTTTTTTTCTCTCGATGAATGTGGATTTCCGACCCCCAAAATATAGGGACTAGGCAGGGATATATGGTCAGTTTTGTCTGGAGAGAGGTTTAAAGTTTGGACCCCTTACTGTTAATTTTGCTTTTTTGATTTCGCCATATCTCGAGAACGTTTCAAGAAAATTGAAAAAATTTCGCGCACAAATATAAAATTATTTTAACCACTGATAAATCCACGCAAAAAATGAATTTTAGTAAGCCTTTATCATTTTTTATTGTTTTATTAAATAGCAGTGGAAAAAAAATTGGATTGTAAATTATGCAACGTTTGACATTATTTCAAAGAATGAATTTTTTTACATGACAAATTAGAAATTTTGAGCACAATTAGTCAAATAGTCTCTGAGAAATCAAATTCTAAAAATACGACTTTTTCAAAATAAGATTTCTGATAGACTATTTAACCGATTTCGCTAAAATTTTGTTTCGTCCTTTAAAGTTACATTTTTTATAAGGATGTAATAAACTACATATCTTACAATTTATTATAATATATTTAAATAACCGAATTTTATAAATTTGTGCAAAACTTTTTCAATTCTCTTAAGTTTTTGAGATATTGTGAAATATGCGAAAAGCAGAATTAGCATCAAGGGGTCCAAACTTTGAACCGCTATTTTGATCAAACTGTTGGAAACCTATTTCTGGGATTACGGTTAGCCCTTATATTTTATGAGTTTGAAATCGTCGAAAAAAAGTTATACTTACTCATAAGAAATACGTTTTAGTGTCTAATTTCGTAACTTTAAATATCGTTAATTATTCAGTATATTTGAGGCTACCCCTTTGAACCATTGAGATTAAATTCTAGAACGTGAAGATTCGATCATTAGATCAAAAGTTAATCAGGGTGGCTCGTTTATTGTTTTGCGCGCTGTTGGGGGATAAAGCAAAACATGTGTTCAAACATTTCATGACCTGTTACATTAGGCTTTCTAATTCTCCCTGGACTGGGTAAACAACTATGGTGGATGGAGCATCTTGCTACGATTTTACCTTCCACAATGGTGATTCACCAGGCATTAATAATGCTTTTTTTCCGCCTAAATTTTAGATAGAGAGAATGTGCATGTTTGTTTGACCATTTTGACGAAAAGTTTTTTATTATTAAGATAAATAAATAAACTATCTTATATTTATTTTGATATATTTATTTCATTTTTAGTAAGTCTTAAATGATATATTACATTTAAAATACAGTAGCATAAATGCATGCTATAATCGTGTGCTATTAAAGTTTATTTTATTTTTCAGAAATGCGGAATGATAATCAAGTTGGACCAGAACAATGTGAATCAGGAAATCATACAGTGAGTTATAGTTGTTCCATAAACATAATTACATTAATGAACGTAATAAATAAATCTAAACACTGAATTCGTTATAAAATCTGAAAGACCAACAAACTTTCAAATGATTTAAATTTTCATTTTAACATTTGCTATAAAAACTCAACTTTTAACTATTTTATTTTAAGTGTTATCATTTGGTAGAATTTTTGAAGGCAAAAATATTTGAATAATTGAAACAGCATAAAAATGTTTGGATATTTTTCTTAAATTTATGTCCTACAATTTTAGTTGAGGGAAATAGTACACTGAGAAAGAAAATCGTGGTTGAAACTACCATAACACTGTAAAATTTGCCGTGTTTCTTGCTCTATGGGAATACTAAAAAGCTCGGTAGTTTTTACCGTAGCGTTTCGATAATGATTTTGGTAAAATTAACAATAAAATATTATTTCGTAATATGTGATATATAATTCGGTAAATGTGGTAAAATGTGATATTTTATCATGATACTTCAGAGCAAGGCAAAATAAATCTAAAAATTTTAGTTTAAATTCACCTTTTAGTTTTGTATTTTATACTAACTGAGTAGTAATAGGTAGGGGAGAGTGGGGTCAATTGTAACAGGGGACGATTGTAACAGAGCAAAAATTTCGAGTGTCTGGTTCTAGATTTGGTTCCTAGGTGGCGCACAATGTGTATTCAGTAAATCTACATGTACACCCCTGCTGGCAACCATTTTTATGTACTTTTGAAAGAGTTACATCACAAAAGATATTTTCACGCCACGCAAGTACTTTTTTTGGTATTAGAATATTATATTGTAACAAAGTAATTTTGTTTAAACAAATAAAAATTATTAACCGAATATGTAAGTGGACACCTTAATTAACATTTCAAAAAAAAAAAGATTAGTTTTGCTAATTAACTAGCATTGTTTTTAACAAATGAAGCTGAAATGGCGTCTTGGGGACAATTGTAACAATAAGTAAAGGGACGATTGTAACAGCTGAAAATAAATAATCTTATGTTTACAAACCATTACTTAACTCTTTAAGAACCACCAATAGTTTCCTATATCATTTATATTATGTTGCATGTGCATTATTTTATTTGTCACCTTTCACAGCATAAATTAAAATTTTTAACCCCTTAAAGTTAAAAGTTTAACCCTTTAGGTCTCTGCTCATTATTATTTTTACTCCTAAAATATCACTACTATTTTGATCAATAAAAAAATATATCACAACTATGATAATATGTATAATTAACTATGTTTTAGTTGAATTTATGAACTGTTACAATTGACCCCGTAAGTGGGGACAATTGTAACAAGTGCACGACTGTCAAAAATTGTTAATAACTAATATAATAACATTTAAAATAAAGTATTTATTATTTTTTTTCTAGTAGAGGTTAGTCTACTTTACTCGTCTGTCAATTAATACCAAAAATATATTGGTTTTTTTGCTAGTTAAAAATAATTAAGTAAAAAATGTTACAATTGACCCCACTCTCCCCTACTATAATTTTAAAAACCAGAATTTCCGGTAAACCGTGACCAAAAGAGCGGAAAAATTACCAAATGAATGGTTTAAATACAGTATATTTTGGTTTTATTAACTAGAATTAAGGTTTTTATTCACAAGAAATGTCCTTACCAAACAGTAAGGTAATTTTATTAGACATTTCCCCCCCCCCTTTTTTTGTAGTATTAATAAGGTAACCAAATTGCTAGTGTTACTGCTACACTGTAGAAATCAGTTGTTCTAAAGATAATCTTGCTAATGTGCAGATTAACTAGAGTGATTTCCCCCCAAAAAGTCCCAAAAAATAGTTTCCTTTCCTGAAATTACCTAATTTGATTTTTTCATTGTAAAAGAGTGAATCAAGTCTTTGTATGAATTACTTTAAAAATAGCAAGAAAATAAAGGAATAAAAATATAAATAAAACGTTCTTTAAAAAATGATAATATATCAATGGATCAGCATAAAAAAAGTTATAAATAAAATATTACGTATGACTTATAAAAATTGAGTTTATATAGTTTCGGCTAATTTTCCTGGCAATAAGTTCATTTTGTATAAAGTTTATTTTCTTATAAATTTACTATGTTTTTAATTACTTTTATAGTTATATAAGAATTTCTAATAAATTTACCATTGAATTCTGATAAACTATAAAGGCAAATGAAAAGTCGGTTGTTTTCGAATAACAATACTAGCACAAAATAAACCTCCGACTTTTCATCTGTTTCCTTTAAAAATTTTATAAGAAATTCCTGCAGCACATTTAAACTCAACTTTTATAAGTTATACGCAATCTTTTCTTTATTACTTCTTCGTCCAGACCCATAAAAAAGTTAGTGACAAATACCCATAAAATATAAATGTAACGTTATAATATGAATATTTAATAACAAATACAAAATAAACACGTGGTATCAAAGCCACGTGTTTACTTTATTTATGCAGTTTAGCATTAGAAACGTTCACGTTTTCTCTATACTATGTGTTGAAGCCAAAATTACAAATGGCGCCACCTAAATTTTTTTGAAAAAAAGAAATTTGTTTCACTGTGTCTACATAGATAGGCCGATGTAATAAATGTAATAAAAGTATGTAATAAAGGCATTGGTTATGAATCCTCTATTCATTTTTTTAATTGTCATTTTTCTAAAAGAAATTAATCCTTCAGCATCAACATACGTGAGCTCTTTCTTAAACAAACCACGCAAAACTGCTAATCAAAATAAAATAAAAAATATTAATACTACATTAGTAACATATTTTACTTTCAAAGTTTCAACAAGAGGTCATAATATGATACAAATTATACAGGTTTGTTTTTTAAATTTAGATATTAACTTTTACTTCGACTTGATTTCAATTAATCAACATTAAGCATAAACAAATTGATGCCTCTGTGGGGCAAGTGTGAACACTTGGCGGTTGGGCTAGTGTGGACGTGCCATTGGAGGAATTTCAATTTGTTAAAAATGTAACACATTTGACATTATTTATTTTCTAAATTAGAATGATTTTGTAGAATGATAGACAATATGCAAAAAGAGGTTTCAATCTCAAGTGAAAAATTTAGCACGAAATCTTTGTATTAATCCGCGTTTTAAAGGTTTTGAGAACATTTAACAGAGTTGTTTCTTGAAATTAGTGAAAAATATATGATTTAATAAAGTTAGATTAATAAAGAAAACAAAGTATTTTCTAAATATTTTTTTTTGTAATGCATTACTCTAAATCAGAATAACCACGAATGGTCCTGCCAACGCTTTTGCGATTTGTTGGCAGACTCCGTGTAATGTCCATTCAACATCAATTTAAAACTAAGGTTATTAAAAATTTTACTTAAAATTGGTTTTCTGCTTTCAGATAAATCAAGTTGAATAATAGTTTTAAAATGTATTGGCTTGCTTTAAAACTGTATTTCTCAGTATAATGAATAGGGCAAATTAGTACTTTAATTATAATATGTCGGTGTTTATTCTTCACTAAGACTTAGATTGTAATTGATTGCATTAATTGAGTTATATTAAACGAGAAAATAATAAGTTATCAAGTTCGTCCGAACTAGCATCATAGCTTGTCTTATATAGTGGGCAAGTGTCTACAAAAACAACCTTTTTTTAAAAATAAAAATATTATTAAATAAACAGTTTTGCAATTCCAAATATGAACAAGAATGCAGGTAAGCGTCCAAATTATTCTTATAAAAAACACTTCATGAGTTAAAAAAATATATTAAATATGGTATTTTCGTAAATTAGTGAAAAATGGCCGAATAGTCAGTCCCCTTTCCCCTATCTGGCTAATTTTAATGCGCAGAAACACTTATTATTCGAAAAGCAGCTTTGCAAAAATGTCACTAATAACAGATTTTACATTTTTAAAAAGAAACGATAATAAGTAAAATCATGAAATCAAATATAATTGATTAAAACAATTTTATTAACTGACAGCGCTTTCTAGATGTACTACATAAATGGATTAAAAATTCGATTTATTTTAAAATTTTTAAAATAAATTTTTAAAATAATTTTAATGACTAATTTCGTATCGTCTTGTCCGAAGCACTTGAACAATTAAGATCGATTCCTAAGCACGTTTAAATCCATACTGATAAAAAAAAAGTATTGTCAAAACTACCAAAATATGGTAAAATTTACCACGTTCTGCCTGTATCTATGGGAACACGTAAAAGCATGTTATTTTTTCGGAAACTCTTTGGTAATGACTTTAGGTAAGATTAACAATAAAAAGTATTTTTATTTGTTTTTCCAGTCATGTTCCTCTGGACTTAAATTGCAGAAAACACTTTTAGTTGCCAATGAAAAAATTGAAAATAAAATATAAGTTAAAAATTAAGCAAGAAAACCTGCTGTAGCCTTGAGAAATAATAGAGGCCAAAAGAGGTAAATCAGAGCAAGTGAGAAACTCACGCCGTTAACTAAGGGATCGACATCCACATTAATGAACCAAGATTCCAGAGCAGATTTGAGATATGTATTAATTCAACGTGGGGATAAAAAAATTTTGTTTTTGTTTTACACCTTTATTTTTATTTTATTTTTTCCATATTATAGTTGAAAACGTGACGTTTTTTTTAAAAATTTCTTTCAAACCAACTCTGTTTTGTATTCTTAATTAATGACTGGTGGGTATTGAATATGGGTTCTTTGCGAGCATTGCAATAAATTACAGATCGAATTACGGTAAATTACCAACACCCTGTGTGAAGGGACCGATCACGACAAATTCAGGTCCAAGGCCCACCAAACTTTCCGGGCCCCTTATAAAATATTTTGAAATTAAATTTCTGAAAAGTAGTCTAACGATAAAAAAGAATCTACTGAACTGCATAATTCAAGAGAAAGATTCAAAAAAATTTTGAAAGCGGACAATTGAAGATTATTTATTTAAGATAGAGTTTATGCATCTATATATTAAAGCAAAATATAAAACAATGTTATATCAAAACAAAAATAGTTTGATGACCACAAACA